TCGGGCCTGTTTTGAATGTTCCCCTTAAAAACATGAACACCGCGATCAGCAAAGCAGCAACTATTTCAGCAAAATTCTTCAGTGTTTCCTATTCATTTGATGATAGTAGTGCCATTTACTGAAGGTTCTGTCTCTCATTGTCAGCTCTTTGCGCTAGAATTCTCCTCACGACACCGCAGCTTTCAAATCTTATCACCTGGAAAGTTTTTAACCGCAGAATCGTGCGGAGTTTATCCGCAATCTACACACGCTTTGACGTGTTGAATTCTATTGCAGAACGCGCGAAGCCTTGCCTCGTTCGCCGCGCAACTCGATGCGTGCCAGCCCGGACGAGCCAATAGTCCCGTACCCGGCAGTGAGACTACTGCCTGGTCCACGCTGCCATCCGCAACCAGGTCCGCTTCCAAGGTATCGTAAGCAGGCTTCGACGCGTGAATCTTCGAAGTGTGATTTTATGTGAGCTTGATATTTTCGAGTTTCAGGTGGATGTGTAATCTCCAGAGGTGCTAGATTTGAAAAACATCCATGATTTCCACTATTTTGAGAACTCTGCTAGCAGACAATCTGAGTTCACACACGCGACAGAAATGTGCACTTCTAAACTTGAAAGGCCGTAATTTTCTTCAATTAAGAAACTGTAGGGCGTGGTAGGCAAACTGCTGCTTGTTGCTCTCTAAACGTGTTCAAACTTTTGTGAATGCTCATTTCTTCAGAAAATCGTCTCGCTGGCCCACTTTTTTGTACACACTCGGGTTTTGGCTTTAGACTGCTATAACTCCCTTCAGAGTAACTTTTGGCAATTCTTTACCCCTGCAGAGTATTAGGAGATCAGACGTTCCTGACGAATTACTTGAACTCACTTGAAATCGATAGTGTCGAAAAATAGCCTTATTAATTCGTTTCCATCTCCTTGAATTCTTTAGGCTATTCTCCCGAAAACGCGAGTTTTCAAGCTTCAGTTGGTTACAATTCCATTCAAAATTAACTGTTTGAAAACGGCAAACAATTCGGAAAACAACTCTCTGTGCTCTGTGGTAGCCATCCAATCTTTTCTGTGAAGTCAATTACTCCAAGTTTTTCCTTTCTCGAATTTTTTCTGAGCCTTGAAAAGTCAATTCATCCATGTGGTTACGCTTTCCGTTTCGCAGGCTTAACCCAGAATCGGGTCTCCTGTACAGGATTATTTGTGCCTGTGGACAATCAAATTTGAACGGATTTGCTGAAAGTGCTTCGGCTTTGAGATGCCGCCCCGTGCACTGGCGACCAAGAGTTGAAGAATCCCTCGGAAGTTGTACCTCTCAAATGCCGTTGCAACAGCAAACCGTTTCTAATCTGCTGCAGTTGATGCTGTAGGCGTGAGTCCAGTGTTCACTGTTTTTATTGTTTATTGTTTATTGTTTATTAATACGTTACATAAGGCAACGTAAGAAACGAACTATTAGAATACAATACTCATTCAACGAAAAACTAGACAATCGGTTGCGAGCTCTAGTTGTGAATTATCAAAAAACTAGACAGTGTTGCGAGCTTTATCGTCACTGTGTAACATTTCACCACTAATCTTCAGAGTTACGTTTTTTTACACTAGGACCCTTACAGCAACTGTTCCCCTACGCTTCTACACCCATGAAGATTTCCACTCATTGCGTCACTCGCCCTGCGCCTACGCTCTCACCATCGCCCCTATCCATCGTCGAAATGCGACCTCTCTTGTTGGACCCTGGCCAACGAAGTTGGCTGATCGGAAGTCCTCCACCCTTTTGATGGTTTTCCATGACCGCAGCGATTGGCTCTTCGCTTCCTCAGGACTCGGGAAATTGGTGTTCTTGAGATTTACTAGGAGCCTACCTTGCCAGCACTTCCTTGCCATGAAATCTGTTACATGGTCCTTTAAAGGAATCTTCCACGGAAAAAGCTCCGCCCTCATTACCACAGAAAACGATACCTTAAAGGAATCTTCCACGGAAAGAGTGATCATTTTGTCTTGTGTGTAGGATTAGTATTATCGAAACTAACGCTTATGTTCCGTTCTTTTTGCTATGCTCATGAGGCTAGGGGCCTAAGGGGTATCGTTTTTCTGTGGTAATGGAGGCGGAGCTTTTTCCGCGGAAGATTCCTTTAAGGCAGAGATGGAGAAGGTGGCAATTCCTTGCTCCAGTGGCCCGGGAAGTGGGACCCAGGATGGCTTTGGTTGATTCGAATGCGTTTAAGAGAGCCCAGCTTCTTTGAAGATACGTATCATTGAGCGAAATGCTCGTGAGTCCAGAACAACTTTACCGTACCTCAATAGGGTCTTTTGCAAACCTTCGAGTTAATTTTAACATTTGTGGAAGATGAACTCCAATGGAGCTGCACTTTTGGATGTTACCCCGTCACAAACTACCACACCTTCAAAGTCTGTTGTAAACTAGACGTTATCTCGGAGACTTGCTCTCACTTTTTGGCAACAACTGCCTCTGACTTTGGTGGTCGCAAAGAAGTTTAGTTCAAAAATTTCTCATTAACCCAATCCGTAAGAGAGATGCGGCGCACCTCGAGCTCGTGCAGAAACTTTTTGCATTTTATCAGTTGAATCTATTCGGGTTGCTCCAATAAAAACCAGCAGAAAGAGTCGGTAACCTCTTCAAATAATGATGCTTCCCAAGATTTTCTGGAAGGAGTGACGGCAGATCCTGAGATCAAAAGCGATGTGACTCACGCTGGCTTCATCGTTGTGAGCCATCCTCTTCTAGGTGATTGCCCCAATCCTCTGAGTGTGCACAGTTCTTGAACTTCCACTTTTCGCAATCCCAGAGACGTGTGCTTGAACCTTGAGAGCACCGAACATGTTTCAAAGAGTTGAAGAGGGAATACCGAGTCGCTTTCCGAAGTTGCAATTTCAGAGACCGTCATTGGGCAGCCTCTTGGTAATGGGTCGATGCAAAAAAATCTTCATGGCGAGAGTTCAGATGAACTTTGGACCAAACAACTTATGGTGCTTCTTACATAGTTTCAAAGCTTTCGAAGAGTTTCGAAACACTCTGAAAATACTCCACGGCTCAGTGCCAGCAAGCGGTCAAAGCCGCGTCCTATACTTTTCGGTCACCCTGTACATATCAATAGCTCGGCCTTCCTCAACGGCAGTGATCTGAGGGCTGGATATAAAGGCTACTTTGGAGCGGCATCACTGCCTACTATTATACAGTGAACATACATTCGAAGCATATTTATCTTTCAGCAGAGTGGTCCATATCATGTTTGGCTTCCACGTTGCCTGACCGCTCTGCGTACATGCAGTCATGGATAACGATTCATATCTGAAGGATAAGGATGAACTCCTAATCACCAACCATTGCGAATCCTTCTATAGTGTTTTCCGGTGCTTCATACGGTGAACCTCGATGACCACCCATTCTCAGACCAGAGAAGAAATTCGCTTTCTGCAAAAGAGTGATGAATACTCTTAAGGAACAAGATCGCAAGTTATTGGAGAGCTAATGTTCATTTTTCAGCCCTCCCCTTTCGCGCACGTACCTCAAATTTCTATTGATTCCATGCCCATATAACCGATATCTATTATACTTCTGGCCTTTGACGGTAGAGGAAGTATCAACCATCACTTTGATTAAAGCAACAGTCCCAGAAGGGTGGGCGTGGTCGGAAACGGCTGCGATTCCCTCGGTCCGATTCCCACTTTGGAGCTGTTCAGCCCCTAGTCAAGAGCTGAAGAAGTGGGCGTGGTCGGAATCGGCCGAGGGGATTGCAGTCGTTTCCGACCACGCCCACCCTGCTGGGACTGTTGCTTTAATCAAAGTGATGGTTGATACTTCCTCTACCGTCAAAGGCCAGAAGTATAATAGATATCGGTTATATGGGCATGGAATCAATAGAAATTTGAGGTACGTGCGCGAAAGGGGAGGGCTGAAAA